ACTAGCATGGGAGTCACATGGCGCTTTGCCTATATTGCTCACTACTGTACACACAGTCCCATAATGTTGTTTGGCATACAGGATGAACTCAGAAATATATTTTGGATACATACACACATACATACTTCAGCTCACGATCCTTCTCTCTTTTCCCAGAAGTCCTCACGTCTCCCACAATTTCCACTATCTTCTATATGAGACCACACTCTCCATCATATCTCTACTCTGAAAAACTACTGCTTGTTCAATATCTAGGGCAATGTCTCCAACTCTACATTTCTAACTCCACACTCATCATCTCCCCTCTTCTTTCTCAAAAAAAAAAAAAAAATTGTCTCTTTTTCTGCCTATTTTCTCTAAAGGTATAATTTCCTATCTCCGGTGCTTACAAAATGGGCATCTTATCTGAATTCACTGCCTCTCTCAAGCCCTTGTGAATACTCTATCATTATTTCTGTAAATTTCTCCTCTGTGGTATCGCCCATAGCAATTTTTTCGCTCTTTTCATCCCCATCACGGCTACACCCATATTTCTGGCCTATAGACCTTGGACCTCAAGTTTTGCTGTAGTGTCTGAAATCTACCACCAGAGCTTCTCCTCTCAATCCATTTTGCAGATTTCCCCTAAAGGGGAATTTCAAAAATCATCATCATGCCCTATTCTGTGGCTATTAAATAATCTTCCTTAAGAAACGGGGCTTTCCATTGCTTAGAGTACACAGTTTAAATTTCTTAGCATAATGTTATTGAGGCCTGTCACTATAGACCCTATGTCTCAAAATTAAATATTCAGATTCGATGAATCTTGGTTAAGGGAAAGGTCAGTGAATGTCATCTAATCCAATTGTCCCTCTGATTTTGAAAATTACATTTTAGTCAAGCTCACTGAACAACATTCTTTCTACAATATTTTTACTTTTCTTACAAATATTCTCTTAATGTATTTCCCTCCTCAATAGCTATTTAAATCAAAGAGTGTAATCTTTCTATCTTTCTATCTCATGCCTGGATTTAGCACTTTCTCCTTCTTCTGAACTTTTGGCTAAGTTTTTATCTGTATGAAAGTTTGAAATTACTCACACATTGCATTGTCAATGTCCATTGATTTCTTTTTTTCCCCCCACTTCCTGTCTTTCCTACAAACATTGTTTAGTCTGGTGCCCCCCTTTCATCTTGGGGGTGGCTGCCGGGGATTGATTTTTCTGGGAAAATATGTTCAACCCGGCCAGGTCTATTGGAAATGGCAGAGCCATATGCATTTTTTTCCTTAATTTTTTTTACTAACATATAATGTATTATTTGTTTCAGGGGTACAGGTCTGTGATTCATCAGTCTTATACGATTCACAGCGCTCACCATAGTACCTACCCTTCATTGATTTCTGATTTAAACTGCTCCCAGGATATGCTTTCTCTCCCCCAGATAAGCATTTTGTGTGTGTATAAAGAAATAGTCAATCCTCATTATTCACAAACTCCATATTTACACATTTGCTTACTTGCTAAAATTTGCAGATCAATAACTGCAACACTTTCATGGTCATTCATGGACAGGCACAGAGCAGCGAGAAGTTTGAGTTGCCCATGAGGACATTCCCAGCTGAAGTCAAGTAAGGTGACATTCTGCCCACTTGATTCAGCTTTCCTACTGCCAATGTGTCCTTTTTACAGGCTCTTGCGAGCCACATTTGCCACATTTTTGTGCTCCCTGTTGGAGATTCTGCTGTTTAAAATACCCCCCAGGTGTAGTGCTGAGGTGTTCTTGTGTTCCTAAGTGTAGGAAAGCTGTGGTGTCTTATGGAAAACTATGTGTTAGATAAGCTTCATTCAGGCATGAATTACAGTGCTGCAAAGGCGTGAGCTCAATGTTAATGAATCTACAATATGTATTACTTCACAAATAAGGTGGCTTTAAATTGAAATACACATAAGACAAGATTATATTCTGATGAGCTGATAAAAATGTTGTGACCCAAAGCTCACAGGAAGTACATCTGTATTTCCCCTAGGAGCAGTGGTTCGGTATTCACTAATTCAGTGTATGTGGTGACTACTGCAAATAATGAGACTGAATGCCTGTGTGGGTGTGTGTGTGTTATGTGTATATGTATATATATGAGTGTGTGTATACATTAATATATGCATATATATATGTGTGTGTATATAAATATAGTATATTTATGTATATAATCCAATCTTTATCCAGGGGGAATGAGAGGGCTCTCTCTGCGGTTCTCCCACTGGCTGGGCCCCTGCTTGGAGAGCAGTCATCAACCATGCTGCGGTTCGTGGTCTATGGCAACCCCAAGCTGAGAGCCCACTCCTGGGCTCGCTGATTGCAGCCGGCTCCCCCGCTCTGATGCCTGGGAACTCTGATGCCCTCAGGCACCCCCAGTCTTCCTGTGACCTCGAGGGTCCTGAGACCACACTGTCCCACCTAGGATTCCACCCCACTTCACCACCTGACTCATGAACAAATGCTCAACATCACTCAGCATCAGGGAAATACAAATCAAAGCCACAATGAGATACCACCCCACACCAGTCAGAATGGCTAAAATTAACAAGTCAGGAAACGACAGATGTTGGCAAGGTTGTGGAGAAAGGGGAACCCTCCTACACTGTTGGTGGGAATGCAAGCTGGTGCAGCTACTCTGGAAAACAGTATGGAGGTTCCTCAAAAAGTTGAACATAGAGCTACCCTACAACCCAGCAATTGTACTACTGGGTATTTACCCCAAAGATACAAATGTAGTGATCTAAAGAGGCACCTGCACCCCAATGTTTATAGCAGCAATGTCCACAATAGCCAAACTATGGAAAGAGCCTAGATGTCCATCAACAGATGAATGGATAAAGAAGATGTGATATCTATCTATCTATATATATATATATAGATAGATAGATAGATATATTACTCAGAATATTACAGAATATTACTCAGTCATCAAAACAAATGAAATCTTGACATTTACAATGATATGGATGGAACTAGAGGGTGTTATGCTAAGCAAAATAACTCAATCAGAGAAAGACAATTATCTTCTGATCTCACTCATGTGTGGAATTCAAGAAAATAAAGCAGAGGATCATAGGGGAAGAGAGGGAAAAATAAATCAAGATGAAATCAGAGAGGGAGAAAAACCGTAAGAGACTCTTAACCACAGGAAACAAACTGAGGGTTGCTGGAGGGGAGGGAGGTGGGGGGATGGGGTGGCTGGGTGATGGGCATGAAGGGGGTCACATGATGTGATGAGCACTGGGTGTTACATAAGACTCATGAATCACTGATATCTACCTCTGAAATTAATAATACACTATATGTTAATTAATTGAATTTAAATTAAAAAAATAAATCTTCATCCAGTAGTGAATATAAAAACACATATGCTCTCATTTAAAGAGATGAAGAAAGAAAAGAGGAGGGGATAGGAGTGAGACCGGAAACAGTGGGTGAGAAAAGGGAGAGACGGGGGAAAAAGTTCATGCCTTTGATGTTCCTGTGCTGCCGTCATGTTCCCCAAACTGGGTAGCCCCTGCAGGTGGTATTTAATATGTACAAAAATGATAACAATAACATCCACAAATTAGTGTGATTATTAATGATAATAAATGGAATTTGATGCTGATGATAAATTTACTCAACGCTCATACTGTGACAGACTTTGAGTAAGTACAATTTTGTGTGTTATTTCCTTAATTCCTAGTAATTTTGTGGAGATTCTGCAATTTTATCCTTATTACAGAAAACAAAAAAAAGAGTTTGGATAAATAAGGCCCCCAAGGAGTCCACAGATAGCAAATCATAGAAAGGAATTTAAATTGGACTCTGATGCCAGTGGCATCTCAACCACTTCCTACCCTGACTAAACTGCAATCTGTCTTCCTAAATCTAAATTGTTGGAATTTAGCCATCTGGGAAGGGGCAACGAAAAAAGCACTGGATCTGAGGATATCACAGCAGAGCTATACATCTGATCTAAAGCTCTTCTGTATTTTTTTAGGTCTGTCACCTTTCAAATAAGCTTTTCTTCTTTTCTTCTTTTCTTTTCTTTCATGAATGAAGTCAGGAAGGGTTACTCATATAGAAGAATGCTTTCTGATACTGGTCCTCTCAGATGTATAAGGACAAAAAGTAGGTCAAAACACTAAATTTAGGGTTTTGGGAAAACATGAAAATTACAAAATTGATTTGGGAAGCTTTTCCTTATGTTACAGAGCCAAGGGGTTTTGAAGTCAGATGAATGTGAGTTCTAATGGAAGTCTCACCTTTCCCAAGCATTATATAATTGTGGCCAGTTAGGATCAGTTTTTGTATCTGTAAGGAATTACAATTATTTATAGAAGCAGCTTTAATAGAGTATCCTATTGCCTCATTCTCAGATTGAGCTAAAAATTCCACATTGCCAAAATCTTTAAGAGTTTTATAATCATAACAGTTTTGGGGATTATAATAGAAAACAGAAGAAAAACAGGGCTAATTTTTTTTTTAAATCTGATACCATCAAAAGAGATCGAAACTCTTAATTCTAAATGCTTTTCCCTCAAGTTAGATGGGAGGGGCATAACTGAAGAATGCTAGAAAATATTTGTCTTCAAAGAAGTTACAGGCAGCTTTGACAAGCCAAATTAAAAAAAAAAAAATCCAGCAGCTCAGCAAAACTCCTCCTGTCCCCTTCTCATGTCTTTCACTACAAAATCTGTGACTTAAGAAGCATGTGAAAATCACTCCAAAAAGCACAGGGCACATTTGGTTCTCTAAGCTAACAACAGAAAGACTTAAGGGCTTACAATGAAAAGATTTTATAGAAATTTTAGATATTTTACTTTTCATGAATGAGCAGAAGAGAAGAAGGTCTGATATACCCCCAAACCACCTTCGATTTATCACATTTTCTAATGACTTTGTGAGCTAACCTAATTACTCTTTCTCCAGCTAAGGCATCTTAGTAGACCACTTTCCCTGTTTGCATAATGCTGGTGGAGACCAAGGCCACTTACCCACTGTTGATGTCATCAGCCCTGAGACTTTTCCCAAGGATATCACCGTCACTCATATATCCACCAACGTCAACTTCAGAAGACATGTCCAGGTCACTGCTTGCTTTCTCACTCATGTCAACTTGGGATATGTTTCCCAGTCGAGAGACAGCTGCTCGACGGAGAGGCGTCGTGTACATGAACCTCGAGGGGTCTGTGTGAATGAATCGGCTGGTACCACTCCGGGAGTAGCCAGCCCCCAGGGAGGGAGCATCTCCAGCCTGAAGTCGAGGACACGCCTGACCCAACCTCCAGGTCATGGGAGTGGGTCGGCTTGTCAAGCTGGGTATGGTCCTTCCATTCACTTCTGTTGTCACAGTGCTGTCAAATGTTGTCTCCAGGGTGCTGGCAAACAAATGAAGAAAGACCTAGACTCGGATTGACTTGGGATCATAGAGCAAGAATACATGAAGACTGGAAAGGCTAGGGCTGACTCATTTCTTAGAAGTATGTCATTTTCATGAAAGTCAAATTATGCTTTCATGATGAGATGCAAAACACCTCTGCAGATGTCAAAATGTGGGATGGAGCATTCATCTGAAGTTTGTCATTTTGCTGTTTTGCTTTCGAAAGAAAGGCCATTTTCTCATTTTAGATAAAGCAAAATTGTGTTTCACAGTTTCAACAAACCCTTCACCTAACTCCAAAAGCTTCCCAGAACTACTCTGGAGGTTGGGTACAATCATGTTTCTCTCTATACCCTCCAACCCCCACTCCTGCCCCAGATGCATTTCAACTGCAACTTCTGCCCACTGCTGTTTGTCACGGGCACGCATATCTACCTGGTAGTGATGCTGGTAGTTTCAGGAGCTAATTCAGTTTGAAAGGGACACTCTATGGAAGAAGAGATGGATGGGAGAAAAAAAGTCCCTGGGTATGTGCTAAGAAGTCGCCAGCTGAATGTCATGTAAAATTTAAGTGAGAAAATAGTAAGGGAAAATTAAATTCTTTCTTTATCCTTATAAGAGGTTAAGTGCCTGGTTGTCATTTTTTTCTTTATTGGCCCAAAGATACATAGAATTGAGAAAAAAAAAAAAAACCTGTGGCTTATCTGGGTCCCACGAAGACTGGACATAGTCTCCTCTAAATTTTGCCTCAAATCTGCTATGTTTTTAACTGTTCTCATTCTCCTTGTTTCAGGGTCTTCACCTAGAAAAGTAACATAATAATATATTTGTCAATCAAGTCATTTACTGATCTCAGAATAATTGTATACATAGATAAGTAATATAAATTCTTCTCCTTAAAAATATAATAATAGGAAATTCCAAATGCCTACTATCTGAAAAGTATAATTCTTCTTTCTACATTCACATTCAATAAAATGTGAATAGAAACAAATGAAACATTACAAGTAATAATTGATCAGGAGTGATGATAATACAATAATACTTTGTAGATCCATGACCTTAATCATTGCAAGGTGACAGTGATTAATTCAGAAATATACTATACAGTACTCCATATTACTGAGCTTAATTTAAAAGTCTGAAATTATTTGGATCCTAATTAATCTCATAATTACCTATTTCTAGGTCTAATCAGAATAGTAAGATAAACTTACCTTGTAGCAATTACACATTTGGACTCTGAGGAATAAGATAGAGGCCTTTTCTTATAGAAGCAATACCTTTGTAAGTCTTCTATTAACATTGGATGGCTTTATTTTTAACTATTTTCCACTTTCTACAGGGACTCACAGCAAACCCCTGTGACACTAGAGTTCCAGTAAGTCCCTAGCATCTAAATCCAGCATGTGTTTAATAGACATGAAACCAGCAGCTTTGCCAGGGGACAAATGCTGGCCTTGCTCAACCACTACCTATCATTTGGAGGCAGAGGTGACATTAAACCAGTTTGATTATGGACATGTAATACTTCCAAGCCAGTGGTCATTTGTAATTGGTCTATCTGGATACTGAGAAGAACATGGGGAGACAGTAGAGGAAGTACAAGAAATTTTAATAAGAAAGAAAGATGAAGGAGGAAAGGAAGGGAGGGAAGAAGGGAGGTGGGGGAATGGATGGGTTAAGGAGGGAGAAGGTATGAGAAGAGACGGGAAGAGAAGAAGGCAAAGGAAGGGGATGGTGGGAAAGAGAAGGGAATGGAAGGAAAGGAAAAACAGCAGGGGCAAGTGAAGGTAGGAAATAGCATGTATTAAACTCCTGTATGAAAACGGTCGCACAGACAGGTCAAGATGCATTCCTACAGTCTCTTTCAAGAATATCGGTAGATATTTAACGTTTTCATTCTCTTCCACAGAATTCATGCCAGATTAAAAAAATATATACAGCAAATACACCCACTTAACATGTATAATATAATCATAGTGTTGGTAGGGATTTCAAAGAATGTCTCGCCTTACTTCTCAGCCAGTGAGGAAACTCATCTATGCCTCACTTGGGAGATAGCCATGTGCCTCTGCCTGAAACCTCTAAGGTTGGAGATGCATCCTCTCCAGGAAGGCACGACTCCTTCTATCAGGGGACAGGTCTAGTTGTGAAAATAGTTCTGAGGGTGAATCATTTGCCTCCCTTTCATTTCCATCCAGTGGTCCTAGGAGCTGTGGAAGGTAACTGAACAACTCTATACTACCTTCACCATGACCCCCAGAGACTGGAAGACACCAACTGCCCATTCCTCTATTTTTTTCTTCAGCCACACATCACCACATTGTTCATTCTTCCTCATCCCTGCTGGTTGCCAAAACAACCACCATTCTGCTGCTGGTCTGTAAATCTCTACTTTTTAATTGAGAAAATATTCGAATGATTAAAATATGCTTAACAGTAGCATTATTACTTCAAACTTAGAAAGTATAAAAAAAGTCCTTAATATATTGTCAAGATAGAAAAATAGGTGTTGTGCCCTCATGCACATGGCATAAAATTTTCCCACACTAATTCAAGGCATGCAATCCTTAACCTTATAAATTAACATCACTTTAAAACTCAGAACTGTTAATAACCCTTGAGATTCTAATCATAATCTCTCCGGAACTTCTTCTCATCCTTCTCATAAATAGAGCATATTTGAGAAATGGCTAGGAAGAAGTCCACTTCTTACTTCCAAGTAATCTGGTAAACCCCTGAAGATAAAGAAGGCGTATGTAAGGAAAATCTTAAAGGGCAGAATATCACTGCAGCCGAAGGAAAAGCAGAGGTAATTGGAGAGATTTTACTCCAAGTGGGCAAAAGAAATAGTGAAGAATGAGACAAAATTGGAGAAGCCAATACCAGAATGTAAGATTTCATACAGTAACAAGTCTAAGTTTCTAAGTGATGGTAAGAATTGACAAGTCTTAAAGGAGGGAAGTATTGAGATGACCTTTACTGGAGGGAGGAGGGAATATAGTTATTCACCTTACACAAGGTCAAAGAATATACCATTACATGTCCCCTGTCCCTGGCTCCCTTCCCTCTGTGAGAACACTTACACTGTAATCAAATTGCATCTCAACCACTTAACTGCCATAATATTAATAGCATTGATATTTGAATTATTTTCAACACTTTCTTAATATAAATTTAAGAACATTGTATTTTCAGAAATTCCATTTCACTAAATTTTTTTTCACATCTTCAGCTTTTAAATGTCCTTCTTCTGGGGTTCCTGGGTGACTCAGGTGGTTAAGCATTGGACTCTTGGTTTCGGCTCAGGTTGTGATCTCATAGGTTGTGGGATCGGGCCCCACACAGAGCCTAGAGCCCAAGTCAGGCTCCCCAGTCAGCACTGAGTCTGCTTGAAGATTCTCTCCCCCTGCACCTCCCCACCCCCATGCGCACTCTCTCTCAAATACGTAAATATATCTAAATAAGTAAATAAATAAATATCCTTCTTCCAATCCAACAGGCATCTTAGATCCTTGGTTTTTCCAACTGCATCCATTTTTGTTTATATAGCTTCTCTCATATTTCAGAACCACAATCTCCTTTCCTCCTTTGGTTTATTCACTTATATGGCCCTGCACTGTTCATGACAATCAAACAGATCTTTTCCTCCCAGTCCTTATTGAGCAAAACATAATTGCTGCCTCATTCATGTTATAGAAGATAACAACCAAGTCAAAATTTATTGCAGTGAATGTTTTCAATGACCCACAAAAGTGAAAATACAATTAAATATACTTACAAACCCCTTCAGGATTACACAAATCTGAAACATCCTATAAATTTGTATCCAAATGATATCTAGAAGATTGGGGGAGGGAAGGGAGTCTCAACGGAAAAGGCCAAATGTAAAAGCACAAGTAAAATGACATATTTAGTAACATAAAAGTTAGTAACATAAAAAAATACATATGATAAATTCATTTAGTCACAAAAGTGTTGTATCTCCTCTCACTTCCATAATCTCAAAGCCACTGAGGCTCAGTTGAGAACTGCTCTTTGCCCAACTTAAAGAGGACACTTTTTAAGCAATGAGAAAGCAGTTTTCAACTATGTTAAAAAATTCAAAGTGAATTCTAGAATATACCATTTTGGAAAATGTGTGTAAGCCCTTACCATCCCATCTGACACTCAGGAGGCTTCCTTCAGGAAAAATAATGGCTTCTACATTTTTGCTTAGGGGTAGATGGGCCACTTAATCTGTGTGGTCCTGCTCTTACTTTTTAGGCTTTAATTATATACATTGTAATTAACACTGCCAGCACTGTCATCTTTTAATAGGAAGTCAAATTATATATGAACGAACCTGATTCACAGGGAATTATGTCCTCTACACCACCTACTTTGCAAATGTTATTATTTAGAGTCCAGCTGCCTGATTTATTTTGAGAACCCTAATTTTATAGATGACCCCAACAGTGATTTGGATGGAAATTTTTCAAATCCTCTTAAGTCAGATACTTTGGGTAGAAAATAGCCGAAACATGGCCAATTACCTTTTAAATATTCTCTTATATAGTTATAGCACAGACCCTAGTCTGATCTATTAGGATGCTCAAGATTAAGGAGTTGAACTCAAGGAACCCTGCCTAAAAATTAACGTGGAAGAGGCCATTTTGAGTCAGAAACAGAACCTAGTCAAGCATGTGGCAGAAATCCTGAAATTCCTGTGTGCTCTGGGCTTGGATATATTTACCAACTTAACATGCATCATTATTTAAGAAATTGCATTGGAGTGCTTCATTATCCTGATATGATTATTCATGTCACAACTATTTGAAGAAATTCTTCCTTACTTTCTCACTTGCATTTTTGAATACTGGCATAAGTTGGAATGGGGGAAGCCTTAAAAAGAATAATCCCATAAATATAATAAGCAGATGCTCAGTTTAAAAACCATGGAATACACAGACTTCTATTGAGAGATTACCCTCTGACAGCAATGCTCCAAGTTATTTATGCACAAAAAGGCATATGTCATCAACACACCCACATACAGCATGGTATAATTTAACAGAACAACCATCAAATATTGCCCAGGGACTGCTTTCTTTTCATATCTTTGAGAATACTTATATATAAGGTACTTAGAACAAGATAAATGCTACAACTTTAAAGGCAAAAGATGAATATTATTTGATTCTGCAGTTTCAGAGGATCAAAAAAATAAAAAGATCCTTAAGAAGACTCCCTCTCATGCTTTTGTACTGCATAGAAGTCTTTCATGAGAAACAGTTCATCACAGAAATCATACAATGGTGAAGAAGTAAATCTTCTGTGTCTGAGCACCTGGTGTATTCAGATTCAGATTCAGAAATCACTATTCCCACAACTGTGGAAACATGACTCTTTTAAAGCCAAACTGACATGAAAAATTGAGCAATATTTGCCTCTGCTGTCTCTCTAAGCTTTCTTCTTCCAAAGCTGCTTCACTAAGATTCCAGAAAGCCTCATCAAGCATCTGGTAACAGGAGGTTCTACACAGAGAATAAAAACACATCTACATTTAGCATCAGTTGTATGAACCAGAAACAAAGAGATCACTGATGAGGTTTAATTCTTTCCAATATGGGGAGTCTTACATGAAGTTTTCTTGTAAACATACATCTAAGCAACATATGATGTGGTCAATGGTTTAAAACTTATGGATTTTTGAAGAAGGGACTGTGTGATGTAAATGCACTTTGGCAGAACACTCAATGAAACATAACAACTAAAATGGATACAGTTTGGCTATTCAGGCAGGCAGCAAAGTAGAAA